GTCAGTAAAGGTTTTTAAGAATAATTTTCCTTACTTAAATTAAACTGTATGTGTGGAGAAGAATTTTAGTAACCAAGATTGGAAGTTTTTGTCTGTGTGCATATATTCTAATGAATACCTTTATTTCAGAATGTAGTAATTTATATAGAGCATTGTTTACACAATATACATGAGTGCTTTTTTGTGCTTAGACATTCTCTTCCTCTCTCATAAAGAATCAGGAAAACCTGACCTCAGGTTAAGCAGCGAAGGGTAGATGAACTCTCCGAACTAGTCATTGGTATGTCACTACACTTGACATGTAGTGTATCTCTTTCTCAAACACACACACACAACTGTATGTTCACAAACTGTATTCAAAGCACATCGTGCGTATCTCTACTAAGAAGTTTCTCTCTGTGTACAGTACAGAACCATGTCTTCACACGACATTCATGGCACATAATGTGCCATGGATATAGTGTGAGGACATGGAGTTCCTTTTTAATGTAGTTTGAGGACTTAGTTCCTTTTTCAAATATGATACAGAACCATGTTCTTGCACTTCATTCATGGCACATGGTGCACTCCTCTAAGGATTTCTTGTTTCAAACTGTACATTTTTATGATTTAGTTCATGTGTTTGAGGGAGTTCCTCATTCAAACACATATACAGCCTCTCTCACTTAATGATGGAGTTCCATTCCTAAGACCACGTCGTTAAACAAATTTGTAGTTAAGTGAGGAGCATACTGTAATGGTAGTGAGTTTGTGTCAACCATCTTTGATATTGTTTTAATGTCACCTTTGCACCATTTACAACATTTCTGGTATATTTTTAAATGTTTATACAGTAGTGTACTGTATATTGAAATAAACAAAATAGAGGAAATCAGCTCTGATATACAACCTCTCCTCGCTTACCAATGTACGTACTTGTTTACAGACAACTCGGAGTTGCGACGGGCTCTCCGATGAGTCAGTATTGTATGCCATATGAGGACTTGAGTCACGTAAATGGGCAGCGCAGTGTCTCAGCATCAAGCATCTCAATCTCCTTCTTATAGCCACTCAGTACACTAGCTTTTAAAGTCTCCAAGACTATATATTTGTACAAATTTCTACTTGATTGTGCACCCTATAGTATACAAGATAGAAGTGCAGCAGCATTTGAAAGAGGAAAGAGAGGAAAATGGAAGAAGTACATAAGAAGTTCACAGTAAAAGGGATAGCTGCTGTGTTCGTCTGTATTTACATTCTCAGTCTCTTGTGGCAGCTTCATTAACCATTTCAGGGTTACAGCCATACTAATACGGCTTAGGCGCCAGTGTCCATGACGTACTAGTACGCATAAATTCTAGCGCCTTCAAATCTAGTGAGAGAAAGCTGGTAGGCCTACATGTGAAAGAATGGGTCTATGTCATCAGTGTGTGCAGTATAAAAAATCCTGCAGCACACAGTGCGTAATGAGAAAAAAAAAAACTTTGACTTTTTGGATTAAAACAGCGACTTTGCACTGTGGTTTCGTATGGTATTTATTGTTGTATTCTAGTTTTCCTGGTCTCATTTTATAGAATGGAAGACATCTTACAGAAATTGAGATGATTTTGACTGGTTTTACAACAAAAATTACCTTGAAATTGAGCTCAAAGTAGCAGAAATGTTCAATTTTTACCAAACTTCAAAAGTAAACAAATCATGCTAAGCATCCAATACACGTCAACTGGTGAGTCTAATATTCTTTCACAAGTGCGCCGATATTATTTATACAATTTCTACACTAATGCAGTAGTCTACATAACAGTAAATCTTCTATTTTTTGTAAGAATAAAATTTCAAAATGGAAGGTAAAAGAATGTAAGAGGGACGTGGGGACGTGACTAATGAACACCGGAAATGTTATTTTAGTGCCAGGAATGTCTTTCTTGTTTATTCTGGACCCTATTCGGAAATTGGCATCTTTTGAAATTTGTGTGAAATTGGCAAAATTGCTAAATTCTGACCACTTTATTGGATAGTTGAAATCGGTAAATGGGTGGTTTCATTCGATAAAAAAAATGGAGTTCTAGCGATATAGTTATGATTTTTGTCGACTAGTACACTGGAATTGGCTGAAAATAGGGCTCAAAGTGCACAAAATCACTGATGCGTAAACATTGTCGAGACTGCCAACTTCGCGAGAGCATAATTCCGTAAGTTTTCCATCAAATTTCTTACTTTTGGTGTCATTATGACTGGGAAAAGATTCTCTATCTTTTCAAAAGAATTTTTTTTTTTTTTTTTTTTTAAATTTGGGGGACCCTGAGAACAAGTCTCTGAGAAGGCCTGTGGACCCTGAAAGGGTTAAGAAATGATTAAACTCGGTGAACAGGATATCTCGATAGTGATAATAATAATAAAATATAATAATAAAATATAATTAATCACTCTGGGGTGCTTTAAATGTCATACATATTTCGTATAGGTTTGGTAACTGACATTCAGAGTACTCCAGAGCAATTGTTATTTTTACAAGGAATAAATCTTTATCTTTATTAATTATTATTATCACCATCAACATACCTTGTTCACCGAGTTGAATTATTTCTTAATTAAGCTGCCACGAGAGACACAGAATGTAAACACAGATGAACACACCAGCTAATCCCTTTGCTGTGAACTTTTGTATTTTTTCCATTTTCTTGTTTTTTATCCCCTCTTTCAAGTGCTGCTGTGCCAATAACTCTGTTTTGTACTCTGGGGGTGCACAACAGATGTGCAGCAGCACTTGGAAGAGGAAAAACAAGAGGAAAATGGAAGAAGTTCAAAAGAAGTACACAGTAAAAGGATTAGCTGGTGTGTTCGTCTATGTGTTGGCATTTTCTGTCTCCCTTGTGGCAGCTTAAGAAATTATTAAACTCGGTGAACAAGGTATGTCGATGGCAATAATAATAATAATAATAATCGCACTTTAAATGTCATAAGTATTACGTATAGGTTTGATAGCTGACATTTAACCCGTAAACGGTCCAAATGTATATATATATGTTCACTACCCCAGTGCCCCGAATATTTTGAAAAATAAAAAATAGTTTTTTTTTATGGAAAAAAAAGAGCACATTTTTCTAAGTGTTATAGGATAAAAAAAAAATTTAGAGTCAGTACTTACCGAGATATGAGGCCGCAAAGTTGGCACTTGGGGATCGCCTGAGGGCAACATGGAGCGCTGCTGCATGCAAAAGTGTTGCCGATATACCTTTTTTCTATTTTTCATATTTTTTTTTTTCAACAAGTCGGCCGTCTCCCACCGAGGCAGGGTGACCCAAAAAAGAAAGAAAATCCCCAAAAAGAAAATACTTTCATCATTATTCAACACTTTCACCACACTCACACATTATCACTGTTTTTGCAGGGGTGCTCAGAATACAACAGTTTAGAAGCATACATATATTTTTCATATTATTTTATATAATTGTCATGTTCTGATAATTACAATTTATAGTAGTTCTTGTCATTTCATGACCAATCTTAGTACGTATTAGCTACTGAAATTGTACTCACATTGTCACAAACACACTGACACCTGCCTTGGCCATTTGGAATATAAACAAAGTATTTATAGGTCTTAGCAAGGAGGAGGAGGAGGAGGAGGACGACGACGATGACAAGGAGGACGATGACGAGGAGGAGGATGAGGACGAGGAGGAGGATGAGGAGGAGGAGGGCGAGGAGGAGGACGAGGAGGAGGAGGAGGAGGGCGAGGAGGAGGAGGAGGAGGGCGAGGAGGAGGAGGAGGGCGAGGAGGAGGAGGAGGGTGAGGAGGAGGAGGGCAAGGAGGAGGAGGAGGAGGAGGGCAAGGAGGAGGAGGAGAGCGAGGAGGAGGAGGAGAGCGAGGAGGAGGAGGAGGGTGAGGAGGAGGAGGAGGGCGAGGAGGAGGACGACAAGGAGGAGGAGGACGAGGACGAGGAGGAGGAGGACGAGGACGAGGAGGATGAGGAGGAGGAGGACAACGAGGTGGAGGAAGATGAGGAGGACGAGGACAACGACGACTCATGAAAAACAAAGTCCACCCCTGACAGTGACAAGATAAGATGAGATAACATCTGATAAGAGCTGATGTTTGATGGTCATACACGAGGGTGGGGGAGGGTGCGGCTGATGAGAAAAAATTACAGGTGACACTTGATGAGCATCTTTGTTTTTGCTGGTACACAAACATGTCTGCATTTGTCTGTCTGTCAAGCTCTCTGTCTATCCCTCTAGCTCTCTGTCTCAGAGAGAACCGTAAGACTGCATCATCACCTTTACTCACATCTTCAAGCAGAGCATAGCACTTTGTCTGGATTTTTTGGGTTATCCTAGGTAATTTACACTATGTATAAGTGTATTTGTGTACCTGTGAGACAGAGATAGACAGAGACAGATAGACAGAGATAGACAGGGACAGACAGAAACAGATAGATAGAGACAAAGACAAAAACAGAGATATAGACAGAGATAGACATAGATACAGACAGACAAACGGAGATAGAGCCAGGCTGCCAGCAGCCGGCCAACCACACAGCTGGCCACCATGCAGCTGGCCAGCCAGCTAGCCAGCCAATCAGTCAGCCAATCATCCAGCCAGGCAGCCAACCTGCCAACCTACCAGCCAGCCAGAATTGTTTCTCTTGACTTAGGGCATAGATTATAAGACATTCTGATAGGGTGTTGCACAATTATTGCACGTGGGTTATTATGGAGGTTTTTTTTATATTTCCTCGACCACTTATGGCCACATTCACCTCAAAGCCAAAATCACTTTCCTCTTAAAATGGGAGTGTTAATGTCTGTCTCATAAACACGCTAGATAACAGGGATATCTTGCTACTCCTACTTACACTTTGGTCACAGACACGCACATGCATATATATATACATACATCTAGGTTTTTCTCCTTTTTCTAAATAGCTCTTGTTCTTCTTTATTTCTTCTATTGTCCATGGGGAAGTGGAAAAGAATCTTTCCTCCGTAAGCCATGCGTGTCGTATGAGGCGAGTAAA